AAAAATGAGTACGTAATATGTGAAGTGTGAACGACCCCCTAAGGCTGCAGACAAGCTTACACCTTAATTACATTAATTTAAGTACATTAATTTATGTACATTAATTCCTTTAATTATAACTTTGTGATCAAAAAGCTCCCGATCGTGGATATATCAAGAGGCAGTAAAACTAGCGGACTATGATAAATTAGGACTTGCCACCCCATGGCAACATTAAATGTATTAGCTCTGTTACATCGCTTCCTGTCAATACAAAACTCCGTAATATAAAGTTATTAAGTAAAAAGGGTGATAGCATATTATTAATGCTTTTCATGCAAACAAGTGAAAACGAATCTTTTATGTCATGTATCCAGGGTTTGGACTGGAATTGCCCGCTTAAAGAACTTCCATCCATATTATGTTAAAACCCTTCCACTTTGCAGCTTCATATAACAGTAATAGTACCTTAGTTTAATGAATATTAAGCTGAATGAATATTTTAAACTGTTTTCACAACTACAATTAAATACATTTATTGAGGAAACGATGTAACAGAGTCGATATATTTTAATGTTGCCATGGGTTGGCAAGTCCACATTCATCGTAGTCCGATAGTTTCACTGCATCCTAAGATACCTTCTCCTCAGTTCATGACGCACATGTCATCATGACATTTCTTTAGCAACAACTCAAAGAATCCTGGCTCTACCAGGACAGTGGACACTAAAACAGTGTGTAAAGTAAAATAATGTAGTCGAGTATGGAAGGTAAGCTTTCTAAGAGTGTTGTAAAACACCTACATAGTGTTATGATTAAATTACATGGAGCCCTTTCCGTGCAATTCCACATATAATGCACCAAATTTCACAGCACCTGGAAAAAGAAACGTTTAGCTTTGTTACTACTGCTACTGTAGGTAATTGCTGTATACTGTAGGTAGTTACTAGGTACTGCTAGCTTCGAGGTAAGTCCCATCTACGCCAGATCACCCTCTCCATAATATATATAGTATATATAGTATATATCCCTGTCCTACATCAGGGTTCGCAGTTATTCTTTAGAGTTTGTCCAAATTTCCTTCAGTAAAATAGACAATTATCTTTATCCCAGTCAGCTTCGTTGTTGTCTACCATTCACATTTCACACTGTCGAGTGTACTTTGGGAAAGAAAGCTACTGAACAGTCGTACGTTCGACCACCACTGGATTCATGAACCGACGGGGGAACTAAAAGGGTTTTTTGGTGCGGACAGTGCTCACCAATAAAGTTGTTTAGAATCCCTCCTGTTACAGGGATCTCTGAGGCGCAGAAAGGTTGCTCCACATTGAGAACGCCAGTCAGAAATGTCCCTGACGATGTTGTATTGAGATTGAAGCTTTGGGACCAAACGATCACAGCTCCTTCACTCCTTGAATCGTAAAATCCATCAACTCACCTGCAAACCCAAACCATAACATAAATCTTACACGCCTTTAAAAGTACTAACCAGTAGGGAGGTGGGCTTGTGAGGAAAATGCATTTCTTGGTGATAAATAAAGTTTAGAAGCGCAAGAGCAAGGTCCGTAAAAGAGAAATTAGCAAAAATGGACTGATTACAAAACTATTCTGAACATACCGTGCATATTATAACTTTATAAGATTACAGTGTGTCTTAATTAGCACTGCTTTAAAGAAACAGGTAACAGAGATTAAGTCAATTTTCTAGTCAATCTGTGGCGCGAGATCAAATTAGAGATCTAGTATCTCGATCAGAGAGATTACATCATAAAGAGTGCGGCAAAATCAGATACTAAAACTTGTCGTACAAGCAGATTGAACGAGACAAATTGTTGAGTTTGTTCCAAGAGAGGAGTAACACTCTCATACCACATTTAGTCCTTGATAAAACTTTTAACGTTTTGATATTTTGTTCACACCTCTGTAAGTCAGCCTAGCCGCTCTGACAAGTCCAGCAATTCCTCCCTTGTGTCGGTTTGTCACCATAATACGAGCCGGGTAAATGTACCTTGTTTCAATTAATTGCGTACTATATGCTAGTGAGATCATGTAAACTTGAATCAGCAGTGGTAAATTAAAAGGAATGGGTTCAAATTGTGGAATTTATTGTATTTAATATTTAAGATGGGGCAACGAAATAGTTTTTTTAAATAGTTTTAAAAGTAGTTTTTTAAATAGTGAAAAAATTGTTAAAAAAGCAGAATAGTAAAGAAATAGTAAGAAATAGTAAGAAATAGTAAGAAATGGTACTGTAGTGTTTAGTGGGGAGCATCACGGCTCTCGGCAGACAAAGTGAAACAAGGCAAATAACTGTTGAAAACTAAACTAAAATAATCGACGTTTCGGCACTCATTGGCCTTTTAAGAAGATTACTGATTATAAATTACAAGAGTCTCAATTAAGTAGGCGAACCCAATTATAGGAACTAAAACAAGCATTTAATTTAAAAACATATGCTACTAAAAAACTAATATCAAAACATTAAGTTCTGAAAGAATCATACGCTAACCACATCGAAGTTAATTGTTTAGTAAATCTATTTTTAACATAATGTTGAGTTTAAGTTTTTTGGCTTGAACATCCCTCGCTAATAAAAGTTTTTAGAGTTTCTTTAAAAGTCTTAACAACACATCAATAACAGTCTCCGAAGAGTAAAAAAGATAGTAAAGATAGATTTGAGAATCGTCAGAAAAATAAAATCAGACCCCATGCCCAGGCAAATCCACATTCTTGCAAGCAATGCAAGCTTTGTAACAATGTCTGCAGGATGAGTTATTTCTGTAGAAATGAACAATATGTAAGCAGGATAACACATATTGCAATGATAACACTGCTACTAATGCTCATTTCTATCAATTCTCAGACTACCACGAACTCAGCCCACCATGACCAAGTAGCCGCAATGTAGTGTTAATAATTTAATGCTATACAATACTCACTACCCAGTATTCAGATCAAATCAAGATTTGATCTGAATAATCGGTAATTACATTATTATACAAGCGGATTTGAGTATAATCTGATTTTAGAAGGCGCAAAGCAACGAATAGAGAGGCTACAAAATCATGATACGCAATTGAACACATTTGCAGAAACATTTACGCCGATTGTTGGATTCTGAAAGTGAAAATTGGGTGGAAATATACCAGCATCCGCATACTAGTAAATCAATTACCATCCATATTAATATACGACTTTTGTATGGCTACTTATGGTTACACATAGTCTCATAGTCTGCGGAAAGTTTTGTAAAACTACCAAGCTTTTGCAGACAGCATATTATATTTGCATATATTTGCAGTTGTGATTTCAGATTTACATTGGATTTGGACCTGAATCCAAAAAAAGAGATCTCGCCCACGAAGATCAACCCCAAGCATCAGACGAAATGAGATTACCATTTCAAATATTCAAGTTATTTGACGAAAAATATATATATATATTTGACGAAGCAGGATCAGAAACTAGAAAAATTTGAAATCTCTATTAAATTAGAGGATAAATTTAAGTTTTACAGTAAATATATAATTCTACACTTCTTTACAAACAAGGCAAAACAGAACCTTGGTGCAACGTTCCTGTTATTATTGTCGTTCAATCACCCGTTCCCAATGAGGGTTTAATAGTATACATTATAACTTTGGGTGTGACAACGGTATGGTAAATTAAACAAATAAACAATAGAACCCCCCGCCCCGCTACAAAGATATTCTATAAGAAATAACTAAATAATATAACTAGATAATGATACTCCTACCACAAGGCTGCGGTTATTGTTTCGTAGAACACAGTTTATATAAAATAATCTCACAAAATAGCACTCTTAACTCATAAAGATCGTATCATGCTGTTGTATTTTAATATTTTTACAATTATATTTTAGACCACCTGTTTAGACCACATACGCTAAAATTTTAAATAAAACAATTTTAAACGATGCAGTAGTACTGCAGTTACAAGGCCTATTTTGTGGTCAAAATATTAATCAAATGCGTTAGATGACCACAACAGTCAAGTTGATCGCAATATCATTTGAGCGTTGAGTTGGGCTGACACAAAATACTAAAATAATGTTATCATATTGAAGAGGTCCAGGTAAGATTAACTAAGCTGTGAGAAGCCCTCGAGGCATTTGTGCTTAGTACATGCAGTCTCCATCCTAACGATAAGATCTGGCGAGTTATTAGAGACGTGCACAGATAAGCACCCGACTCCTTAATTCTTCATTAATAATAATAATATGACCGGAATTTCTTAATTTTCATTAATATTACCCGTAATTACATTAATAATAATATTCAAACTTTATGTGCTATAATTCGACTGGCAGAGCAATCTAATCGAGTATAAGAAAAGAAAACAATTATTGAAATTGAAAGCTAAATCTTTGCAGTAATCGTTTCTTTTACCAATGACTTGACATGATCCGTAACTGTAACTTAAGTAACGGAAACATAATACTAAAATACGATTTGTTACTCCTCATACTGGACTATTAATTATTACACAATACCTAACCCGTTACATGACCTCTCTCTCTCTCTCTCTCTCTCTCTAGAGGGAGGTTAATAATCATAACAATGAGAACTCGTAATATCAGAATATTTAGTGTTAAGTATCATAAGCATGATAAGGGTTGTGGCTTAGGGCGAGAGACAAATTAAACGGATTATTCTGCTCATGAGGACAGATCAATCAGTTAATATACTGACGGGTACTATGTTAGTAACGAACCCATGTACCTCAATTGTTTATCTAATACCTCTATCATACTGCAAATTATGATAATAATGACGGAGATTACCAATTTTGGCCACCACAATTATATGTTTGATAAATACCAAAAACATCAATCATTTTCAGTTTCACCACCACTAAAATGTCAAATTTTTGCAGTTGTGCATAGTAAAGCACAACATCTCTCAAATAAATGAGAAAAGCAATACCCCCCCCCTCGGTCCCCGGTCCCCCCCCCCCCCCCCCCATTCACCCTCTACCCTAATACTACATAATCAACTCACCCGCACAGCTTCAGAGTCGTACTCCTCAGCTCGTATCTGAGCTAGTTCTCTACTCGGGCCCTGCTGTAGCCGTATAGCCATCTGCACTGATCACTGTAGTAGTTCTGGCAATGTTCCAGGAACTTATCACTGTAGTTCTGGCAATGTTCCAGGAACTTATCACTGTAGTTCTGGCAATGTTCCAGGAACTTCCACACGTCACGTGACCAACCACTACGTTACAACGAAAACGTGCTAGAATGTAGAAAGCAGTAAAAGCAAACGTTTTGCAGACGGAGGGCGACAGGAAAAGGTCTAACCGGCCCTACTATATAGGCGGTGTATTAGCAAGGCATTATAAGACTGTTATATACTGCTGTATTAAATCTGAATTGTTAAACAAAGACAAACTGTACTGACTGTACTATAATAGGGTAATCGAGATATGTGAAATCTCTGGTAGAATCTACCAGACATTTCACATAATATCTCGGTTATGTGAAATCTATATATAACAGTCTTATAATCAGATTATCAGGCAAATCATTAGTACTTCATCTATCAATAATTAGTGCTTCATCCACGATTAGGTCAGTTTACAAAAGGGGAATTTATTCTAAGCTAGGGTAAAAATAAAAGAGCCACTAACAAATACCAAGTATAAGTCTAATTACAATGTTTGTAAATCTCAAAGAAAGAGTTATACAGTGGTGAAAAGGATAAGATAAGAGGTCTAGGTTGGACTCAAAGTCTAACTGTTGCTAAATGTGGGGCCGGTCGATCCTCAACTTAATTAAGTGGTGTTACATAAGATAAGCTTAATTACATCGGACAATGACAAACACTAAAATAATATGATACCTGTTCAGTGTCACAGAAAATTAAATTTAGAAATTGTTAGTGATTTTAGAGACATTTTGCTCTAGGTAAAAGAGAACAGGGTCCTCGGAACAATGCTAAGCCCGGGATATGACACTAAGTTCGGATAACAGTTGGGGGCAATAGGACCTGATCCATTTCGAAGAGCCCGAGACATCAGGTTCATTCTAGACTTCAAAAGTCGCACACGAGAAAATTGGCCTATAAAAATATAATTTTCCAAGCATTTCATTGCAGTCATTAGTTCATAGTATCTGAATCCTCCAGGAAGGATTATAATTTCTGCAAATTACTACATTAATTACAACAGATGGATAATATCCCGGCTTTGTGACTTTTTCTAGGGGACTTTGATGATATACTTGTGGTTCGGGATATTAACGATATAAGCTTGCTGGATTAACCACAAAACCTTATCAGTCAAACTCAAAAACTCATCTTGTACTCGGAACCATACCAATCAAGCTCAACATCTAATAGCAGACCTCGCACCAAATTTTACACAACCTATGAAAGAAAGAAGCTTCCCGTAACGAAAAGCTTTAGTAAACGTTAGGATCATCAGTTAAATCAATACTTTCAGGGCTTCTAAATTAATTCACATTTCACAACTATAATAGCACAATACAAGTAGTGTTGAAAGAAATTAAAGTGCATATTACTACACGGTAAGTATTTCCCGTTCACGATAAATTAAAACTTTTAATTAGGCTAAATATCGTCCTCTCACCAACAGTGGACAGTGGACAAATAGTTCGAAACTACGTGAAACTGAGGGTATAGTTCCCCTGCGTGCAACACGCTTACCCAGGCATTGTGAGATTATTGTATAATGCAAGATGTGAACGAGCACATAGTAAATATAAACGCAGGCTGGATCAAAAGACTGTCCAGTATGCCCCCCCGCCCCAGTATCCAGCTTTAAAATAGGTATACATCAGGTAGCTGCATAGAAAGGAGCACAAATACTGGACCTGGAGGCTCTCGCATAAAATTATTCAGAAGGCGCCCCCAAGTAAGGTAAAATCAGCGACTAAACGGTTAAAAACAGGGCCTAAACGGTTAACAGCAGCGTTTAAGTTCCTCGTTACAGTCTCCTGGTCTAAAGACAATGCTGGGTGGTAATACATCTGAAATAAAATCTATCGTCACTACTAGTCGACTGTCAACTACACTTCTAGTCGACTGACTACTGTACTAGCTGTAGTTCACTACTACTGTACTAGCTGTAGCTCACTACTACTGTACTAGCTGTAGTTCACTACTACTGTACTAGCTGTAGCTCACTACTACTGTACTAGATGTAGTTCACTACTACTGTACTAGCTGTAGTTCACTACTACTGTACTAGCTGTAGTTCACTACTACTGTACTAGCTGTAGTTCACTACTACTGCACTAGCTGTAGTTCACTACTACTGTACTAGCTGTAGTTCACTACTACTGTACTAGCTGTAGTTCACTACTACTGTACTAGCTGTAGTTCACTACTACTGTCCTAGCTGCAGTTCACTACTACTGTGCTAGCTGTAGTTCACTACTACTGTGCTAGCTGTAGTTCACTACTACTGTGCTAGCTGTAGTTCACTACTACTGTACTAGCTGTAGTTCACTACTACTGTACTAGCTGTAGCTCACTACTACTGTACTAGCTGTAGCTCACTACTACTGTACTAGCTGTAGTTCACTACTACTGTACTAGCTGTAGTTCACTACTACTGTACTAGCTGTAGTTCACTACTACTGTACTAGCTGTAGTTCACTACTACTGTACTAGCTGTAGTTCACTACTACTGTACTAGCTGTAGTTCACTACTACTGTACTAGCTGTAGTTCACTACTACTGTACTAGCTGTAGTTCACTACTACTGTATTATAGTCGACTGATAGTTGGCTACTACTACATGATACTGTTGAATGGCTATACATGAACTCGGCCCATCGGGACGTGATTATAACTTTTCCAACAACCAAGACTAATTCGCCACTGAATCCAGAAAATCAGGACTCGTTGCCGTGGAGACTTGAAAAACAGGATTCGTTGGCCGCAAAAATTGTCATATGTTTTAATCAATCTTATCAAATAAATTGCCTAAACCCCAACTAAGTCCGTTACTGGCTACACGCTACCAGGGGCCCAATTATAAGTCAAAAGTGGAGTTAAAGAATTAAAGATATGATAATAACATTATAATACTTATCACAACTAACACATATCTGTTAATTACATTGTCACTTAGTTCGCCTATCTTGATACGACTCTATACTGTATTTAGTATCGGGTTAGAGTTAATAGCAATAAGGAATTGTAAGATTTCTCCAGCTTGGAATACATAAAATATCTTTAGTTATACAGTTTTCAGGGATATGTAATACATAAATGCAGTATCTAGGTTATCTGGTTTTTGCAGATCCACTTTCTAAACAGCTTATCTACAGCTAATCAAACATCGAATTCAGGAGGGAAAAGTCGCGGTAAAGTCAAGGTTTCGATCGTTCACATTATGTATGTTAAGCCCCCATCTTGGGAAAGGTGATGGCCGCGATAGAAAACAAAGGAACTGTGGACCTTTTGTGAACATTTTAATCATTGGCCAAATTAATCTGTTATTGGATATTTGGACCTAATTTAATATATTTAAAAAATTGCGTCCTCACTTTGAATTCGGCAATTTGCGTCCTCACTTTGAATTCGGTAAATGTGCAAAAACGCGAATGCTAAATTTAGATGAAGTTTTACACCACTCTGATCTGCGAATGTGAGACTTAACAACAGGAAATCAAAAGAAGTGATACATATCACAAAAACGTCACACGATGGCCAGGGAATCATTCCGAAACTTAGCTCCTAAACGAGGCAGAAAATGCTAACAGTGTTTTAAACTATAAAGTGTTGAGAGTTGAACCTAGTATACCACACACCGGACCAGGAGACATGGAACACAGTTAAAAACTGCTGTCTGACACCTAACTACACTCCACAGAAGCGAGTTATCGGTAATTGGGGAGGTTTATGAAGGAGCAATACGCGCGGGTTGTCATGGTCACGAAATGTGTGTGACGTATGTGTGACGTTTCTGGCAGATAAGTTTGCCCTGAAATTCGGAGGTTTTATCATTATTAATATTACGTCTGTGTTTCTGTTAATGTTGCAGTGTTTGTGATTTGTCTAGACACAAGTTGTACATCCCCATGGTAGTAGTGCTATATACAAAGTAGGAAACAGGAATAACAAGTGAAGCGTAAAGTGTGAATATTACGTCTCAATTTGGCTGAGTCGGCCTGACTCCGTTATACTTTTATACTTCAGGTTCACCCCCAAATCCACCCTAGCTGGTCAATTTGACAACCGGACAACTCTGGCTTTAACCCAAAATTGCAACCCAAACCGACACATTTTAGCTTACTGGCTACAATGTAGTTGCAAATTGTTTGCGTGATAGATATTTAAGAGAAAAAGTATGACTGGTTAGTGGTCAGTATCCTGTAAAATAGAAATTACATGATTACTGAAACTAAAGCTAAGAAAAAAGCGAGATACAAATTCTTTTGTTATGATATTTAACGCATTCAATAGATTGTCAATCTCATTGAACTGTATGAATTCTGAATTAATTTTGTTAAACATGAAAAATAGAGTATAGGGTGATAAAGGCAAATAATACCAAACATTCAAGACCCATCTTTATTTGCCACTGGTAAAGTATGTAAATCACACCGTTCTATTGTAAATCTGCATTCTGCTAGTATTTCAAATGATCAAATATTGTATTTAAATAAAGCAATTTGACTTTCCGTCCCTTACGCAGAGAAGTTTTTTTTTCATTGGTGGATAATCCGAGTGAACGTTAAAAAAGCTACAAGATATAATACTAAGAGGAAAACTGAGAGATGGGCCAAAATTCAACGGTCTCACGATCTGGTAGTGGTATTTGTAATGACACCACTGCCGTTTAAATATTTGTCGTTTCCTGCCGGCCACTTCTGGCTCTGCAAGTGGTAACACAAGCTTAAGAAACTGAAGAATACAACATATTGAAACATTACAAATACCGATACACCAAGATCAGGGAACTGAATACCAGGATCAAGGTATGAGAAGACTGCCAGCCAGCCAGGGACACGAGGGAAGAAACAATGAAAGATGGTGTGGTATTTTTAGCTCACAACTGCGCGGACCAGTGCAACCATGTTGTGTGTATCACTGAGGTCAGGGCGGCAGCTCCCCAAACACAGCTACTATATTTTACTTTTAAAAAGTTATTATGTCGGTGTCTCCTTACATATGCTGCCTAATGCTCGTGGCTAAAAAACAGTTACTATGTTCTAACTTTAGGGATGAAAACTTGATGATAGCAGGTAAA